AAACTCGATGAAGTTGAATGGACTAGGGCGAGATATGAGGAACTAATTCTACTTGATGATAAACGACTAGAAGCTCTACATCATACTCAATGCTATCAAACTAGTATAGCTAGGCATTTTAATAAGAAGGTCAAGATAAGAAACATCAAAGTAGAAGACTTGGTGTTAAAAGCATTAAGGAAGAATGTTCTAGATCCAAGGGGGAAATTTAAGCCTAATTGGTCTGGACCCTATATTGTCAAAACAATCCTATCAGGAGGTGCAGCAAAATTAACTGATATGGATGGCAATGAGTTCTCGAACATGACAAATCTTGACCATCTTAAAAAGTACTATCCATAATTACTTGAGTAGGACACTCAAGAGTGCTACGTTTGGCCTAATTCCTTAAGAAAGGATACGTAGGCAACCCTTTACAGGTGCAGCCACTATATTTTTTTCAAACCTCGCATCCCAGACTCAATAATAAATTTGACAGAAAATCGATGAAACATCGATGTCACATAATAACTACCGGGGCTAGCCGATGAACCTTAGCGCCAGATGACAATGTATGTCGCCTGACGCCAGACTGTCGCAGCTGGCGCTAGTCGTAAAAGCGTGGTGCCATTTTTCTAGAAAGTACTTGAGAATATTTCGGTGTTTTTCGGAAAATTTTCCACTTCCATAATCCAAAACATTTCTGGAAAATTAATTTTTCAGTTTTCATTGCTTTAATAAATTAAATTTAAAGGGGATAATTTAATTAAAAAGGCTGCAATTTCATTAATAAAATAAATTAACAATTACATTATTGATGGAATTTAAATAAAGCTTAAATAAATTACTTTAAATTTAAAACTAAGTCTAATAATTGAAAGCAATGCTTTAATCTTTTTTCTCTTTCTTTGCTCTCTTTCAATTTTTATCTGCATCCTTTTCTTCATCCATAACTTTAGCTAGTAGGCATCCTTTAGAGGACCTACATTCAATTTTAGAGTAATAGTTTCTCCCTTAGCTAGGACCCCATGTTTCTTCTCTACCCAAGCCTTCTTCTATGAAGTGTCAGGTTTTCTCTTCCCTTTATCCTTCGTAGAGCTTTTCTTCCTAGGTATTGTAGCTGTTTTGAACTCAACTCTTTCAGCCAAGCGTTCCTTAACGGGAATCACTTTGTCACCTAGACGACTCTTCACATCAGTTTTACTCTGATTTTTCTTCATGTCCTTTGAAGGTTTCTTCAAAAGCCACTTCTTCACATCACTGGGCAAGGAAGGAAGAACCTTTTGGGTAATCACTTCCCATAAAGGTCTAGCGCTCCAATAAGCATCAAATTTGTCTACTTCTTGAGACACGGGAAATTCATAGGGACGACGAAGATCCCCGAAAGGAATTGTTTGAAGTAAGCCGTACTGTCTTTTTACCCTGCAGGGATAATAAAAAGTCATTTTGGACAAGCTTGGAAGACGGTATAAGGGTTGCTTGTTGACACCAATCATCTTTTCTATTTTCCACAAAGGGATGACCCACTTGATGTTAAAGTTGCAAGAGCCAAAGACCTTCTTCCATTCATGGCGCCCTATCTTAGAGAAGCGTTTCTTCCTTCTCACAAAGTAGTTTGGAGTGTAATTTTCAACATTGTCCGGAGGACTAATTAATTATAGTCTTTCCATTAGCCACATCTGTAAAAAAAAATTCAATGCAAATAAATTAATTTTACTATACAAAAATATGTTTTTGATTTCTGTAATTAAAAATATTATTTTTCTACCTGTAATAAAATTGGAGAGCCTCGAAAAGGCGCTTTTGGATTCTTCTTTAATTCATCAAGACTAAGCATAGTCCCTCCAACAATTAATGGCATTGGATTTCTCCCATATTCAATCTACTCCAAGACACTTGATATGATTACTTGGCCCTCATTAGCTCTACCACTAGTGAGAAGATATTGATTAAGCATGAAAAACAGGAATGCTCTTCTTCTATAAACATGAAAAGACTCAGAATAAGGTCTATCAAAATAATGGCGAGCAAATTCTTTCAAATTAACTATGCTACCAACTACCATATTTGTTAGATCTTTGTCTATTAAATTAAAGAAGCGCTCAAAATCCTGGTGCTTACCAAAGAAGGGGATGTTTCTTCTTACTAGGATGTTTTATTCTAATCGTCTATAGAGTTTTGAGCTAGTGATCACTACAAAGTAGCCTCGGACTGGACTAGAGTACGTTCTTTTGCGCTTTCCGTTGATCGAAGTAGGGCAAGTCTCAGTCTTGTATTGGAGGTTGAGAATAGGTCCTTAACGACCGATAGATAGGATCTCGCTAGGCTGCGGATGCCTCCGTCTGTCCCAACCCAAGGCTATTTTCCATGCCTGCCGCTCTGATGGATGTAAAGTTTTGAAAGACTTTTTCATGGTAATTACTATTTGCTTCAGTTGGGTGTGGAAGTACTAATGGAGGAAGGCCAACCCACGACAGCTGACGGCGGATTAAGGGCGTGTATAATAATATTCATTTATTCTAGGGATTACTACAAGATCTAATGCAGGGAAGCCTAAGATAGCACCGAATTCTTCCGACAAAGGGCTAATTTCATCATACCCTAGTCTAAAACAATGAGTATCCACATCCCAATATTCTAAGGCGGTATGAATAAATCTACATCAAGATCTACCCCCTTGACACCATAAATACCCCCCATATGAAAAACGTCTAACTCTTTTCTCTCCTTGGTAGTTAGAGACCGACACCCTTCATGAGTGAAGTTGGTACAACTTTTAGAGACTAAAGACATGATTATTTTTTTTCAAAAGCTAAGGTTATATTTAATATGATGAAATTATGAAGAAAATCGGCTGGGCAGGGGGCTATTTATGCACAAAATCGCCACATTTTCAATCCGGAAAGGATTCGGAGTCAGCGCTCATCAGCGCCAGACGCCAAACATTGGCGGCTATTGCCAGAGCCTAGCGCCGAACGCTAAGAGTTAGCGCCTGGCGCTAACCCAAAACGCGTGACGCCAGATGGCGCTGACGTGTCTTATCGTACGAGCTTTTCAAAACCGCGTTTTTTGGTCTGACTCGAGTCTGACCAATGACTTTACGATCTTTTATTCTTTTTATCCCTTTTTTCTAAATTATATTTTCCCTTTTTTTCTTAATTAATATATCAATCATATTATTTTTTGGATTTTATTTAGACTTAATTTTTAAGTTTTTGTAAATCCAATATTTTTATTTTTTATTTTTTCATTTTTCTTTTGAGGGAGAAAGTCGGATACCCTCCGTCAATAATAAAAATGACGGAATTTTTGCGCAAAATTATTTACCACAATTCTTTGCACACACAAACATACAAATAAAAATGAAAAAATGTTAATAAACTCATAGTAGTATGTATATACAAATATGTCTAATAAATGAGTCTAAATAAAGGAAAAGTTCTATACAAAGTCAAAATAATAAAAAAGCACAGGAATAAACTACGGTGCCGGAGGACATACACCTATCAGGTCATAAAACTGCGCAGTAACCTCTCCACCAGCACCAGCTCCGCTCCAGTCTCCTCGGGAGGTGGAAAACTCAGCACAGGACCCGTCCACCCAAGACCAACCTGAGGCTGAGGCTGCGGAGGCTGCTGCGATGACGAGCCAACCTCGTACATCCCACCACCTCTAAGAGCCGAGGTAGCCTCTCCCTGGCCCACCGGCGCAGCGTGTGCACCCTCAGATGAAGAACATGAGCCCTCCACTGCTTCGGTCAGGGCAGCATTAGAACGACCACCCCGGGCACCAGAACCAGTACGGCGACCTCTCGAGCTAAACCTCGTCGGCTCTCTCCGCACCTCAGGTCTCGTACAGGTACAAGAAGGAATGAGCTGACCCTGCAAGAAGAAACTAAGTCAGAAACAATCAAAATAGAAGCGATAATGCAAAAATAAGAAAGGAAACTATCTCCTGGACGGCGTCGTCACGACGACAGGTAGCCACATTCCCCATCCAAACGAACTGGCTCCGGAAGGCATCTATGCACCGTGCCATCGCCGTGACCACCTCGCGCGAGAACTGTCAAGGAAATAAAGTCAGTAATGATGCATAACATATATGGACAAAAATTACAAATAAATAAAGCTCACCCGAGTCTGGTGACGAGGAATCGACCGCTACATGAAGCGCTCACCCTCAGGAGCCGGAGGAATCGTCTCCTCGATCGGCCCGTATGTCCCCTGATAATGGATGGACATACGAGGTGGCACAAACTCAGTAGGTCTAGCCTGACAAAAGCAAATCAAAGTTAGTAAAACATTCCTTGGGGGCTACATAACGTAAGGTAAAAGATGAAAATCATACCGCCACCTCATCGGCCAGTACAGGGACTGGAGCTAACAACGGCAGTAGCTCCTTCTCTTAGCACCGCCCAGGGATCGTATAAGATCGCCAAGGGGTACCAGCTCTCTCTGACATGCTCACCAACCTCGCGGCATTGAACATATGACTCAGTGGAGGAGCAGGAACGACGAAAGTGTCCGAGGAATGCTGAATAGCAACCCTCTCTCCAAGATATGCGACTGCTCCATATGTCCCTAAGAAATATCGACGCTCAGCAGTATACTACGCCGCTAACCTAGGGACAACCAAGCCGATCCACGGCCAGTACTGCACGTCAGGTTCCTGCAAAGAATGCCTATCAGATAAGAATTCATCAAAGGTAATATGAAAGTTTTAAAATATGCAAAGAACCATACCGAGATGATCTGATCCCGGACATAAGCAGTAGACATTCCAGCACGGCGGCGTCCCCAAGAGGCGCTCACTGGAAATCTGCGTGGCGACAGTCTCGCAGGCGCAATTGAGGGAAAGTACTCGTAGAACCAGATCTACGAAAGGCAAAAAGCATCAGCAAGTGCTAACCAAAGCATCACTAGGTGAAAAAATTAAATTGGCACCGCCCTAAGGCCACCGGTTCTTAAGAACCAGTAGGAAAAAAAGTGGGAAAAAACGAGGGAAGGGAATTGCCACCGGTTCAAAGAGAACCGGTGGGTAAAATACTAAACCCACCGGTTCAAACCGGTGGCTTTACTATTTTTTTTTTTTAAAAAAACCGCCCCATAAATACCCAAATAAACCCTACTCTTCTCAGCCGCTCTACTTCTCTTTCTCTCTCCTTCTCTCTCTTCTCTGTTCGTCTCCTTCTTTCTCTTTCGATCTCATCTCCTTCTTTTTCTTTCGATCTCTTCTCCTTCGTTCTCATCTCCTTCTCTCTCTTTTTCTCTTTCGTTCTTCCCCGATGCTTGTCCAATTAATTGAATACCACCTTCGATCTCATCCCCTTCTTGTTCGATCTACATCAACATCAACAACAGTTTCTGGTTATTTTTCGAGGTTAGGATTTAATTTTTGGGTTTAATTCGATTTTGTACTTTTTAGGGATTGATTTTCGAAATTGCTTTGAGCAATTGATTATTCTGGTTTAGATAGGTTTTAATCGATTTTCTTGGATTTTAGGTGATTTCTGGGTTGTTTTATTTTTAAATTGCTTTCGATCTCATCTCCTATTGAAGATGATGAAGATTTTGAAGGTATATTTATTAACTTTGCCTTTTTTGAATTTTATTTGAAATGTTCTAAATAATATTCTGAATTAAGCTGTTGTTTCTGTACATATATTTGTATGAAATTTGGTTAGTATGTGTATTTAAAGATGTAATCTTTATGCTGCTTGCATTTATTTGAAGGTGGAAATCTTATATTGTTTGATTTATTTTGAATAATATTCTGAATTAAGCTTGTTATTAGTCTTATGATGTTTGATTTATTGTGAAATTGGCTTCATTGTCATTGGATTGAGCATGCATATCGAAGTGGAGTATTGGCAGAAACTATCTTAGATCATTAATTTGATAGATTGAACTATTGAAGCTTTAATGATTAATTGAATAGTTTCAGTTTCTGTCATATCTGATTTGGATATTGAAATTTGATTGTAGTGGATATTGGAGCTAATTCTCTACCGAAGTTGTAGGAAGTTGAAGTAATATTAGAATATTGGCAGATTGAGAATGTAATTGGCAGATTGAGGTTGAGCATGTCAGTAGAATGGTATATTGATTCTTTTTAGTTTCATGCATCCATATGCTTCTTGACTCAAATTATTGCTTGCTTGAATGTGTTGCACTTATCTCCTTGTGCAATTTGGAGACTACTTTGAGAAATTATTCACACTTAACCTCTAGAGACAGCATCATGGTGGCATATAACAACAATAAGTATTACGTTGACATTATTGAAACAAAGCCCTCTCATACTATCAGTATAATCGAGACAGACTGTGAGGTGGACTTTACCCCTCCTCTTGATTATAAAGAGCCTGAAAGACCTGCAATATCTGCTCCTGGCAAGGCACAACTCAATGTTTGCACAATCACTTTACTCTCTTTTCCTTAGTTAGGTATCAAATAGTTCTTCATGTTTTGTCCACTAATTAGAAGTGCATAAATAAATTGAACTATTAGCCAATGGTAGGAGCTACTTGATGAGAATCATGAAACTGCAGTAATGCTATTGAAGCAATTATTTTGTATTATTTGGTTAACATATTGTGAATGAGCTTGGTCCCTTTAAAATTTTCCTAATAACAATGATTTTGTTGTTAATCTATACAAGTAGCTTAAAACAATATCAAATCTCTTTGATGTTGTCTTCTTGATTTTCTTTGAGACACTTATTTAAGAGAATTTGGTTAACATATTGTGAATATTGGTTTGTTTCTTTTCTTTATGTTAGGATTATTAATTCTATTTTTAAAGAAAGAGGAATTAAGGTTACAAATACCCCTGTTGTTTTGATTGATGATGTTGTAGATTTGTCGATTGGGCTTAGCTTGCTGTATTGCTTTGCTTTGGTGTTAATTCTATGATTGTTGGGTTATTAAAACTATGATTGTGTTGAAGTGGGATTGATTTGCTTTGGTGTAATTTGAGTATAAAGAAACTAATTTCAAAGTGGATTTTAAAATAGGTTTTGATTATATTGTTTGGGGGTGGTAATTTGAGTAGAAAGGGAGCCAGTATCATATTGAATTGTTATGCTTGGTGTAATTTGGCTCTCTTGAAAATGAATTGGTTATGCTTTGGTATAATTTGAGTTGAGTAAATGTCAATATCACATTCAATTTAGGCTATCATCTTATTGTTATTTACATGTGTTAATGATGCATTTTGAAATTCTGTTAGCTCCCGTTGATTTTTCTATTAAGTTTTGTAGAAATTTCTGTAATTTAAGATAAGATACTAATTCTTTCTACTTCAGTTTTTGGTAAAAAAATAAATAAATAAAAATTATTTTGCTGAATTCGCTATACGTAAATCATTGGGTGAATTTGCTGACTTAGCTACTGTCGCCCTGCCGAGGCTACCGTTGCAGCTGGTCTAGAAAGGTTTGCAGCTACTGCTGCCCTGCCGAGCCTGTTGCTGCTGCTGGCCTCGAAAGGTTGCAGCTACTACTGCCCTATCAAGGCTGCTGTTGCAGCATCCCTACCAAGGCTGCAACTGCTACTACTCTACCAAGGCTACTTGTTATGCTTGATTATTAATCTATAACCTTTGAGGAAAGCAAAGTAATGGATGGAGGAGGGGGAGGTGGGTTATAGGAGAGGCTGAATAAACAATTATGTTGGTCCTTTCTCCGTGTTAAAAATCTTTTAGAATATGAAAATGTATTTTTCCAAGCCTTTTCTTCTCAGTCTTCCTCACTGCATGTATATATGGTTGAATTTAAGGTAGTATTGCTCTGCTTGTTGTCTTTGATTAATACACACTTCGAGATCCCTTATCTTTGTTTGTTGATGCAGGTGGCTGTCGGAAGATGTTATCTATACGCAAGGCTGCTGCTGCAGTTGCTGCCTTGCCAGGTGTTATATTGGTGATTTGGTGTGACTTGTATTTAACAGTGACTTGTATTTTTTTTTTGGACCAAACTTGTAATATTACAACCTTTTTTTAATGAAAATATGTAAGTTTATATATATGTTAGTGTTTATATATCAATTTAATTGAAAAAATGCAAAAAAAAATAATTTTTTTTTTTTGCCATTATTGGCACCGGTTTTGAACAAGAACCGGTGCCAAAAACCCCTTTAAAAAAAGTGGGAATGGGTTATTCCCACCGGTTTTAAACCGGTGGATTTATATCTGACTATTGCCACCCCCCAAATGCCCACGGGTTCAAAACCGGTGGCATAGGGGGGTTTTAACCGGTGGCCAAATGCTATTTTCTCCTAGTGCATAGAGCTAAACTTTATGGGAGATAAAGTATACCTCTACGACTCTCCAAAAACCGGATAGAGCGACGTTCCCTGTGAAAGACCGATGTCGACACGAGTCTCGTAACGCTGGAACGAAGTCAGCATAGGCCAAGCTGGCCCAGTCATAAGTCCCAATCAAGTGTAGATCACGGACCGTAAGTAGGTAGTAAAGCAGCACTCTACTACCCTTGTCAAGGGATAACGTCCCTGACAGAAAGATGAGCACAAAGATGCGCACCCGCTGCTCTCGGGTGGTCGCATCATCCTCGAAGGCCGCCGCTAGAGTCGAACGGTGAATCCCCTTGTCGCTGAATTGAGTCGACTCTACCTCAGCACGAGCCCGAACAACAATCGGACCCAACAGCACCTCGACCTCAGGGGAAAAGATGCTGATCTCGTTGTCAAACTGCAGCGTAACAGAACTAAACTCTAGTCCCGTAATAAGACTAAAGTCGGTCGTGTTGACCATCATCTCACCCCAAGGAATGTGGAAAGTGTTGGTGGTGTCCCAAAAGAACTCCACCAGCACACGAACCACGTGATGACCCTCCCTAGAGGCAATCATGGCCTTTGAGGTCTCAAAAAGCGCAGTCAACCCGCAAGACTCCTAGAGAAGTCTCACCTCTCCGTCAATGCCTATGTACATCTTGTACAGGTTACCTAAGGTGTCACAGCCAGAGCCGTGGTAGCGCGTCCTACCAACTGTGATCCCACGTCGTACCCTCTCAGAGATATGGTGGACGGGGGAGAAGTACAGAGTCCGCTCATCCCACTCGGGGAGAGGACCAAGAGAAGTGGACGGGTCGGTGTCGTCCTCTACGGGCTCGTGCTCCCATCGTACGTCTCGAGACAATGAACCCGAACCTCGCTGTCTAGCCATGCTACATTGTGCAAAATTATCATAAATAAAGGTTCTATAGTATCTAAGGTTCACCTAGCCGCATGATACTATGTTCGCAAAAAAAAAAAAAAAAAAAAAACAACGTACTAAAATAGAGCACAAATTCAAATTGAGCATATACGGAATTTTTCAAACATTCAAACAATTTCTTGCAATAATATGGTAATTATTGTGACAAATTGGACAAGAATTGCTAACAAAAACATCAAGAACAAGCCACATTGTATTCCCAACCTTAAGAGGTCCAACAATGGTGATTTATTCGTTTCTTCACCAAATTGAGTCAAACAAGTCTCAAATTACTCCTAAGGCAATATATAAACATAATTAAGCAATTTCATGGCATAAAATTTGACAAACAAAGTGTATTAAGCAATTAAAGTTTCGAATTTCAAGAAATTTGTGAGCAAACATGTGCAAAATTCATTAAAACCGGAGTGAGTTTTGAAAAAACTTACATAGATCGGGAAAATGGATGGAATAAGCTTTGATTTGCAACAAACTTGAGCAAATTCGGTTGAGAAACGAGCAAGAACGGATGAATTGAAGTTCCGTAGCGATTCTCGAGCAAAAATAAGTAGTAGCAGCGAAAATGAAGAAGAAGAAAGGGGTATATATGGAAATCCCGACTCTAGCGCCAAGCGACAGGCCTTGGTGCCAGACGATAAAACTTAGCGCCTGGCGCTAGTGCCAGCGCCTGGTGCTAGAGCCATATATGTGGCGCCAGCAACATTTCAGCGGCGACAAACTACTCAGCCACTCAATGAGGTTGTTTCGACCTCTTGCAACATTTTGGGTTCCTTGGTACGCTAGTTATCCCCTCTATGAAATTTGACATGACTTAGTAATCGGCTGGATTACAATCGCATAAAGTGATCGACCTGATGAATGATCGTCTCACTTAGCTTAAAGCGCCTAAGCATTGGCTTATCGCAAAGCACCGACATAATGGTTCAAAATACAGCAAAAGGTACCGAAAAACAGGTTTATAATTCAGCAGAAGGCACCGACATACACGTTCAAAAGCAGCAAAAGCGCCGACGTACTGGCATAGCGGAAGTAAAGTTCAAGTGAGCTTTTCAAGATCGACAAGCGTGGGTCTTCGGTAATTTTCCTCGGAATATTATCGCAACAAATGGGGATAGCTTCAGGAAAGGATATCTTTGGCAGCATTCCCTAGCTTGCGCAGAGTTGTCACAAACAACTAGAGGCGATTTCAAGCGAAGTTATCTTCGATTGTGTTCCCTGGCTTGCGGAAGATGGTCACAAAGTGCTAGAAGGTTGTTTCAAGCGAAGCAATCTTCGATGGGGTTCTCTAGCTTGCAGAAGTCTGTCACGACGAAATTGGAGGCAGTTACAAGCGTAGCGGTCTTCAGGCGGCATTCTCTAGCTTGCAGTAGGTCGCCAAAAATACAACAATGCAGCAACAAATCGGTTACCTTCAGAGACGTGTGCTCGATGGTTCAAGATACGCGTTTCTTAACTCTCTTATCTGTTTTAACTAATGCTAGTTTGTAGGCATCGGCGTTACAAGAGTGATTTAGGATCGCAGAACGTTCTTAATCATTCTCCATCCATATCAATACTTTGACATTTGATTTTCGAAACATGTGTTTCTCCAAACTCAGTCAAAGTGGGGGCTTCTGTAGACACCCATTTGTGTCTCCCCAAAACCAAACCCGGTGATGAGTACCTTTCGCGTCGAATCATAATCGAATGAATTGAAAGTGTGGAAAGTCTAGTGTTGCAGATAGGTTTAATTTCTTTTCTCTTTGATTTTGAAAACCTATTTTAAGAAAACAGCCAATCTAGTTTGGTTTGATCCATTTAAAGGGCTTAATAACGGTGTAGTTGGATGGGGCTTGAAGAGAGCTTTCCAACAATATATTATAAGCCCAATTCCGATGAATAATGAGGAAGTTATGGCCAAATTACTAAACTGGGCCCCGTTTGATCCTTATATGCGGCCCGATGATCTAGAGGAGGGCCTTTTAGGAATTATCATTCCTAATGCAATTAGGATTTATCATAGAATCTTCTAGAAGGTTCTTTTGAATCCTAATGGGATTAGGATTGATAATTATATTTTATGAGTTTTATTTGGAATAAAAGAAGTGTTTTAAATGAAATTACGATTTTACCCTTCGTACGGACTTTTACGACTTGATTTTATCAAAAAGTAGATTCCGAGTTGAAAACGCGTGGAAAACCTTATGCATTGCCAAACGACAGGTTGTTGCTTGGCGACAGACCTTGTTGCATGGCAACATATCCTATCATTGGCAACAGAGGCGTGTATTTAGGGTAAAAATACCCTAAACACGTGGACCAATGAGAGGAGGCCACGTGTCGAGTTCAGGATGGCCTACATGGCTTAATATCCTCTTGACACATGGCCCCCTTGGATACATCCCTGAAATAGCAGCCTTCAAGGGCCTAAATCCCAGGAAGCGCCGTAAAACAGCGCAGCCCACTGAAATCTAGGTCAAGTGACCTAGATAGGGGCACGTCCTCTAATGACCCTATAAATAGAGAGATATTTCCCCATTTTGGGGACACATTCAATCATTTATTACACTTACATTCTCTCTCATCAGAGAAACACCTGAGCTTGGAATCTAAGCAAATCCCCACCTAAATTTCCGTACTCTTTATTCCCTTTCAAGTTACTAACTTAATCTTCAGAGGCAGAGCTCCAACCACCCGGAGTCTCCGTTGTTTTTCAGATACTACTCAGCCGGACCAGACTTCGTGACGTAACTCTTCCGAGGGAAAAAACACCCAAAACATTTGGCGCCGTCTGTGGGGACAGTACCTCAAAGATGGTTCAAGAGTCTGTACCACCCCCTAAGCATATGGGCGATGACCTGGAAGTTTTTATGGACCAAGAGGATGAAGATCCTCAATTTGAAACCTATACAGCCGATGATGGCTCTCTAATAACTAAGCGCATCCGGCACAGAGACACTCTAAAGCGGGGTGCCACCCAGGCGGGTACAAATCGACCCCCTGGGCAGCCGAAAGGGGAAACCCATACGGCAGGTGGATCAGCTCCCGTCACCCGAGACGAACTCATGAGGTTCATGACAAGTTTCAAGGGTGAAATCAAAAATCTAATCGCTTAGAGCCGGACTGGCCCAAGTAGGGGTCAGTCGGCCAAGAAGACACCTCTTGAAAAGGGGAAGTTAGTCAGAGATCAGCAGCCAACTCCTCATCCAAAGGAGAAGGCAGTCGGGACCATTTATTGGTAAAAAATTCTTCTTCCTAAGAGGAATGCCAACAACACCTGCCGGACTCAACAGCCGGTGGGAAGCAAAAAATGAACTCTTGATGCCCGGTAGATCATCTACTAGAAGAGAAATCAACAGTTGTCTGAGTCGGCTTCTACGTCAAATTTTCTAGACAGCTTCAACAATACTCTCTCCCTCATTCTAGCCTAGCCTTTTTACAAAAAAAAATTCATCATACATCAGTAATAGACACACTTAGCCAAGTTCAAAGTTGCCTTCATCCTAGACGTGAAAGGTTTTATATTTATGAGGGTTTGGTCCTAAATCTCAATTTCAATTATTTAATTTAATTGTTTTGTTTTAATATTTTCCTTGAACTTATTAACGTGTGTATTTTGTTATTAGAAAGAGGTACGAGGCATCCAAGTAAGTACTTTAATTGTTTAATTGATATTTTGATTTCTAGTATCATGTTAGGATGTTTTCCCTAGTATTGTGTTAGGATGCTTTTCTTAGTATGATGTTTAGGGTAAAGAATAAGTTCCTTACATCAAATATGATTTATGTGATGCTTCCTATTTT